TATATTGTATGTATATTGTATGTTTATTGTATGTATATTGTATGTATATTGTATGTATATTGTATGTATAGTGTATGTATATTGTATGTATATTGTATTATGATACAATAAAATATCTTATCTTATCATCTAAAGATAGTCCTAAACTTTTACAGTTTATATATATATATATATATTGTCTATTCTAGAGACAACAACTTAGAAATTCATAACACAACAGACCTTGTCAATAGGTTGGTTTACCAAGGAACTGCAGATGGATTCCTATTTTAGTCACAGTTGAAAGTTTTCTGATTTTAATCTCTCATTCTAAAATTGGCACCGATCTCTCACCTCAACACGTGTGTTAGATTTATGTGTCATCATAACTTAGGAATTTGTACTTGAAACTCATCAAATGACTTAAGAAATTATCCCTACACTTGTATAGGTAAAACAAAACGCATCAGTGAGGCCAACGTAATACAGAATACACATGCCTAAATTCACAACGGAAGAATTCAAGGTTTCTTTCTAAACATTTAAAATGAATCGCCAGACATGAAAATATAAATAACTCAGCCAAGCTATTTATAGAATGGTACTATTAAAACTGTAAAATCTGATTTCAGTCAACCTGTGTTGGATTGATTGAAGGTTGATTATCAAATCAAGGTCATGCACCTTAAAATCTCTCTTACCTTGTTGCTAAAATATATATTCCTGGGGGTCAGTCCACCCTATATCCTTCTCCCCTTCCACTTTCTATATTCAATAACCGATCGACAAGATAAAGAACCAAACTTTTGCCTTTACCAAAACTTGGCACGTACCATATTAATATATAGGGGTGATAGGTTTGTTCTTTGTTTCATATAATATATTAAATGTAGGAAAGTGGAACTATTTTGGGAGCAGTTGATACCTGTTTTGAACTTTTGACGAAAGTTTGAAAGTTTATTGTTGAAAAGTAAGAATATATATATATAGTAAGTTGAGAGTATATTTAAAGAAAGGTAGTTTGTTATCTAGATCTCTGTATTCGAGATAATACCTTCGGATTTTTCGACACGGTTTCCCCTGTCAGTGATGCAGGTAAGAGGGGCTGACATGGAAAAAGCGTCTAGTCGTTCAGATGGGACAATAAACCGTGTGCTACAGGCTGTGCACGTTAAAGATCCCTGGACAGTTGGAAATCGACAAAGAGCAGGCTAATGCCGCTGTCCTGACAAAATTTCCCTCATGGCACACTGCATGGCGCTGCCTGTCTTCATTAGCTCACATGGTGCAGAAAAGTAGGACGTAAAACTCCATTCATTTCATTTCATTTTAGATCTATGTATGTTATCTATTCTAAAGGGACAGATGCGCCATGTTTTTACCATTCGTACGTTAGTCATATAAACGGATTTGTTTTAGCTATACAGTGTTCACAGCTCACCGTCGAAATTTCAGGCTTCAAATCCATGTGTCTAGAATCATCCGCGTTTGAAAGTTAAAAAGACGACGAGTCGTCTTTTCCGGGAACACTGACATCTGTAGAAATAGGAAAAGAAATTCATAGTTTGAGATATTTTTGAGGGAATTTTGCGATTTTCGTACATTTTTGTACTTATGAATGGCGCATCTGTCCGTTTAAACCAGTCTGTATATTGAATCAGAGATAGAGAGAGTCTGTTATATCGGTGCATCTGGACTACTATAGCCACTTTTATTGACTGAAAGAGACTACGTCTGGGTCTAGATGTTGTTACGTCATCGGTGTGCATGTGGCGCTCATATGCCCGCTACGTTGAAAAATATCGAGTAATACTGGATGAAAGCCAATATCGGGCAGACTCTCAGAATCACTGGTACAAACAATGAAATAAAATGGAGTTTTACGTCTTACTTTTCTGCACCATGTGGGCTAATGAAGACGGGCAACGCTATGCAGGGTACAATGAGGGAAAGCCTGTAAAACACGGGGCCTCGGTTTATTGTCCCATCCGAACGACCATGTCTGCCCTGGAATCACTGGTACAGGCATTTTACCTTGAAGAGGGTTCAAGCGAAAATCAAACAGACGACAATCCAACTCACTATCGACTGAGCTATTCCATTGCCACCAGGGGCAGTGTTCCAACCCAGTGTTAGAGGAAAGTATCAGAGATTATTACAGAAGATAATCCCCAAATATCATCATAAGATTGGGATTGTGGTAAAAAATCTACTACGACAAAATTGGGATTCATGGGCCTTATCCGAGACACCTCACAAGGGAGAACGATTTATCTATTACCAGTTTGTAGACGTTTAAAACAACTGAACATCACACGACTCTTTTATTGGTCTGTATAAGATGCAACAATGAAATTTCATCACCATAAAATTGAAACCGAGATTTTTCACATCTCTTCAGTTGATCTTTAGACAACCTTTTATCACAATGCTGGTAAAAACGGAATAAAAATGGGTCCACAGCTTGAAATATATACAGCTTTGTTAAACATCTTTCAAATAGTCTGCTACTAGAACTTTCACCGCTTGTGTCTGTCCAGATACCTTGAATTTTCACAAGATCACTTTTATACACGGACAGGATTTCATGATTGTTGAAGTTAAACGTCCCAGAACTACTGTCAAAACTCAGGGAACCCGAATCACATGACCTCGATCCTCGACACACAAATTTCGGATTGTATCGATTGAAGTACAGAGGGTAATATGCCTGTTTGCCTGGTACGGTATTCTGAATAATCCGATGTAAAAATGCCGAATCAAACGCAAAGTTCACGTCCATGAAAAGCACCAAGCCATCAATTGGAATGATTTTCAGTCCAACAGTTATTGCCCTTGTTTTTGAAAAAGTTCCTATTCTCTCTATCACACGGATGTCTAATTTTGTAGAAAAATCAGAAAATACGTCGGAATGGTGTTTAGAAAATTTGTAATCGTTCAAAGAATCTTGAAACAGGACCACACAGAGGACAATTTTTCCACGGAAACGTTCCAGAGCTCTCGCCAGCATCGAGAGAAAATTCGAATATAGTTTGGAATTTCTATAAATTGGTAGAATCGTCCAAATAGTCTGGGTGGACAAGGCCATCTCGGTTTCGTGAAACTCTAGCTCTGAAAATAATTGTTTTGTTCTAACTGAGAGTGACTTAGCTTGTCGTGGATTATCTACGAGTACGATGTGTTCCAAAACTTGTCCGTTTGATAGTCGTTGGTAGGATTGAGGACGGATCTGGTAGTTTCTGAATCTCGGATCACTGGATACAACAGTTCTAGAAAGTCTTATAGAAATAGATCTCCCCTTCAGCCCCAACTCGGACACAGGATTCATTGTGTCAATGGAATAAAATTTCCCCCGAGTTACAAAATCCCACGAATTATCATCCTCCAAATTCTTTAACAACTCCGATACGACTGGACTATCAAATTGACTTGTCCGTGATCTACTTCCTATTCCATTGTCAATCAATGCGTCTCTCTGCCTTCGTTCTTCAATATATTGATTAATATTTTTCACGGCCATTGACAGTTTCCGTACCTTGTATTTCAGTCGCTCCAGACGTGAACCGGAGAAATACACATCGAGACGAAACATGTGCAGATGTTGTTTGATGGGATGAAGAGTTATGGCCCTTTCTTCAGCTCGACCAAGTTGATGGGTGAAAGATCCGGATTTATTTTTATAATTCTGATAAAATAGGTGAGCAAACTGAAAATACATTTTAAACAAAATATGAAACAGCACAAGAATTCAGATTATTGAATAAAGCCAACTGGAGTCTATCAGAGGCCGAATGATTTTAAACTGAATCGTTTGCAGTAATCTGAAACTATGTCATGTTTTCCCTCGTTCAGTAAACCCTTTGAAGGACATTCACGTTTAAAGACTGTACCAATCTAGTCAGTAGAATTAGCAATACTTTATGACAGTCCTTTCTGAGAAAAAGACTGAAAAAAGATTTCTAAAGCTGAAATGACAAGGGAGCTTTACACCCGATTAATCGAGAAAGGAAGGCCTCTAAATTAAATGAAAATTGGCTTATTTTTCTAACGTGAATCTAAGAAATAAGTTACCTGGAAAGCGTTACTACAGGCTATACCAGCATATCTCTGAACACACCGTCCTAACTCCGTATCTTCGTGTAGGGTGACAGCATTCAACAAACAGTTTTTTAGATGTGTCCTGATTTTCTTCAGGGTGGTTCGGGTGAAAAACACCCCCGGGCCTCCCATACAGTATGGGGCACTATTATGTAGACCCAGCTTCCCAGTCTCTTCTTGTGTACCAGTTCCAGGTTGTCCAATGTACAGAGATTTAGAACTGTTCACAGAACGCAGAAATCTTTCTAATTTGTCCGTTTTCACGAAAACATCGTCGTCGGAACGCATAAACCATTCATAGTCGTTCACAAAATGAGTAGCTACGTATTCTAACATTGCGAATGATTTTGTCTGCGGTGGATAAGTATTTTCAGTTATATTTTCTAATATTATCACCGGCAGGTGCCCGTTGTACGGTTCCTTTCCACCAACAAAAAACACAATTCTTCCTGGAACTATTTGACCCCATGTTCTGTAAATACCCTCAGCACGTGTTTTCAGATACTTTCTGGTTGTCATGACAGCCACTAACAGGAAGTTATTTTGTGAGACCGGAAGTGACGATAGACGGTGTTGTGTTGAGGGAGTGTCTAGGTGTTTAAAACTGTGGTGTATATGTTGATGATGACGAATATCGCCTGATAACCAGTAGACTAAACAATACCCCAGATACACACCTAGACAGAAACATAGTATAGTTTTATATTTAAATGACAGTCGGTCCATCGTGTACACTGAGACACCTCCAACGTGTTCCTACAGATCGTTAAACCCGGCATCGAGATCACAAATTCTCGCTAGAACTGTCAGCCTAAAACAGGGTCCTCGGTTAGTGTTTTCGAGGCATATCCAACAGGGAATACAATCTTGATTGGCTCTGAGAATAACTGCTCTTTAGTCGTGACTATTGTCTTGTTTCTTTGCGCGGAATAATGAATTCACAGTTTACTGTCCTCGGTTTGTGCTTTCGCTTCTTTTGTCTTTTTCTTGACGAGCCATTTAAAATAATCAAAATTCCTGATCAATGTTTTTGATAATTTCTAGAATAATTTTTTTCCCGAATCCAAGCTAGAGACGTGAACCTGAAAAATAGAGAATCACATTAACAACCATACTTCCAAATCAAATTCTCACCGAAAATGATACTAAAAATTTCATTTTCGATTAAAACAAATATATGTAAACTCCCTATCGACTAGTTTTTAGTTTCTTCTAATATCCCACATCAAGAAAGTTTATAAGAAAGTCTGAAGATGTCGATATTACCTGTCATCTTTCTCACAATAGATGTTGAAATCGACAGGGAAGACTTGTAAAGAATGTACATTGATTTGTTTTAGGATGGTCTCTCACAATGTCAAGCTATTACAAACTACAACTTCACAATGTCAAGGTATTACTAACTTCATCTTCACAATGTCAAGGTATTACTAACTTCATCTTTACAATGTCAAGCTATTACTAACTTCATCTTATACCTTTACTCATCTTCACAATGTCAAGCTATTACTAACTTCATCTTATACCTTTACTCATCTTCACAATGTCAAACTATTACAAACTCCATCTTATACCTTTACTCATCTTCACAATGTCAAGCTATTAACAACTTCATCTTATACCTTTACTCATCTTCACAATGCCAAGCTATTAACAACTTCATCTTATACCTTTACTCATCTTCACAATGTCAAGCTATTAACAACTTCATCTTATACCTTTACTCATCTTCACAATGTCAAGCTATTACAAACTTCATCTTATACCTTTACTCATCTTCACAATGTCAAGCTATTACAAACTTCATATTATACCTTTACTCATCTTCACAATGTCAAGCTATTACAAACTTCATCTTATACCTTGACTCATCTTCACAATGTCAAGCTATTAACAACTTCATCTTATACCTTTACTCATCTTCACAATGCCAAGCTATTAACAACTTCATCTTATACCTTTACTCATCTTCACAATGTCAAGCTATTACAAACTTCATCTTATACCTTTACTCATCTTCACAATGTCAAGCTATTACAAACTTCATCTTATACCTTTACTCATCTTCACAATGTCAAGCTATTAACAACTTCATCTTATACCTTTACTCATCTTCACAATGTCAAGCTATTAACAACTTCACCTTATACCTTTACTCATCTTCGCAATATCAAGCTATTACTAACTTCATCTTATACCTTGACTCATCTTCACAATGTCAAGGTATTACTAACTTCATCTTATACCTTGACTCATCTTCACAATGTCAAGCTATTACAAACTTCATCTTCACAATGTCAAGCTATTACTAACCTCACCTTCACAATGTCAAGCTATTACTAACTTCATCTTCACAATGTCAAGCTATTACTAACTTCATCTTATACCTTTACTCATCTTTACAATGTCAAGCTATTACTAACTTCATCTTATACCTTTACTCATCTTCACAATGTCAAGGTATTACTAACTTCATCTTATACCTTGACTCATCTTTACAATGTCAAGCTATTACAAACTTCATCTTATACCTTTACTCATCTTCACAATATCAAGCTATTACAAACTTCATCTTATACCTTGACTCATCTTTACAGTGTCAAGCTATTACTAACTTCATCTTATACCTTTACTCATCTTCACAATGTCAAGGTATTACTAACTTCATCTTATACCTTGACTCATCTTCACAATGTCAAGCTATTACAAACTTCATCTTCACAATGTCAAGCTATTACTAACCTCACCTTCACAATGTCAAGCTGTTACAAACTTCATCTTCACAATGTCAAGCTATTACAAACTTCAGAAACCACAATCGATGGATTTAAACTAGAAGTTTGAAGTTTTACTACTCACCGTTTGACCACTGTTCTTTCTGAATTTAATTTGATCCTTATGTCATACTTCCCTTTAATATCTCGAGTTAAAGAGTAAAATTCTGAAAGAAAAATATCAATACATGTAATCCTAAATAATATCACAACAGACAAGAACCTGCAAATTGAAAGACTATTACACCAGCGAGCTGTAACTGTCTCGACTGGTGATAAAAATTATCAGATGAAAGCTCTACAAATCGTAGTTTGTTTATATTTATTGTTGATTTGGATGATCTCTTTCAATACATTCTACAATCACAATTTGAGCTATTGTCTAAGGAGTTAAAATTGTCTATACATTCACCTTACTAGCTGATACAACCGATAAAGGATATTTTGCGATTAGTGACGTCATCAAACACGTAGTTTTAGTGAAATTGCAGAAACCACAGGCGTCTGACTAAAAATTTGAATGATGAAAATGGATGCTATCAGTGTCCCCGTTGCGTGCGTGTAATACATTTCAATACCCAACATACATTGCTCAGTCGATCATCTCGCCCAAACTAGCATGTGCAGTAAACCAAGAGGTGAACTTGTTTGTTTAGTTCATGTTCGCAGAATTGCAAGATCGTTCAATGAATTAAGTACAATTTATAATTCTACAATTTAACAATTTAAGAGAGTGTTAACTCCATTTCATTTTATTAGCGCCACAAGCAGTGGCCCATAAGTAGAATTTAAAACTCCATCTTAATGATCTAAGAAAGTGCTAAAAAGGTTATTACATTTCTTGACTGGACTGTATTAATGAATATTTGGTATTCACCGCGATCTTACCACCTGTAATATTCAGAATAACTATTCAAGTTAAATACCAACTTTTCATATTGATTAAATAAACCACAGATATTAAAGAAAAGGTTCTCTATATAAAAATATGAAGTATTTTTGGAACACTAATATGGCTTTGATAATCCGGACGTCATTCTTATTAGTCTAATAAGATACAGAACAGTAGGATATAAAACTGTATTTCATTTCATTAGTCCAATAAGATACAGAACAGTAGGATATAAACCTCTATTTCATTTCATTAGTCTAATAAGATACAGAACAGTAGAATATAAAACTCCGTTTCATTTCATTTGTTCAATAAGATACAGAACAGTAGGATATAACACTCCATTTCATTTCATTAGTCCAATAAGGTACAGAACAGTAGGATATAACACTCCATTTCATTTCATTAGTCCAATAAGGTACAGAACAGTAGGATATAAAACTCCATTTCATTTCATTAGTTCAATAAGATACAGAACAGTAGGATATAAAACTCCATTTCATTTCATTAGTTCAATAAGATACAGAACAGTAGGATATAAAACTCCATTTCATTTCATTTGTTCAATAAGACACAGAACAGTAGGATATAACACTCTATTTCATTTCATTAGTCCAATAAGATACAGAAGAGTAGGATATAAAACTCTATTTCATTTCATTAGTCCAATTAAGATACAGGACAGTGGGATATAAAACATAGAAATCTCTGACCAAGACCGCTCGTGTGCCAGCACGTTTATCACGAAATAGAATGGACCGTGCTTCACTTTATCAAAATAACTGTGTGGTTCCCACGTACTAAGTGAAACACGGTAGAGACATGTAATCTTTTCGGAAGTGAAGAAGAGATGATGGTTCTATCATATTTCGTGGGTACACGACTTTACTTTACCCTATGAGATAAGAATGGAGAAATGTGGTATGAATTGAAAACAGAAGTAGAAGGTATTTACAGATGATATTATATTGTGTTAGGGTTAATGGGCCACTCTATAAATTCTTTCTTTCCGTATAACGGCGTTCGTTTTGGAAGTTGAGGATTGAAATATGACAACCTCGAATCTTTATCTTCAAAATGTGCGCAGTTCAATTCATCTTTCAAAATATTCATGAAAAAATGCCAGATACCGTGAATGTATAAGAAATGAAATGAATGGAGTTTTACGTCCTACTTTTCTGCACCATGTGGGCTAATGAAGACGGGCAACGCCAGCCATGCAGGGTGCAATGAGGGACATTTTGCCAGGACAGCGGCATTAGCCTGCTCTTTTTCGATTTCCAACTGTCCAGGGATCTTAAACGTGCACAGCCTGTAGCACACGGGGCCTCGGTTTATTGTCCCATCCGAACGACTAGATGCTTTTTCCATGTCAGCCCCTCTTACCTGCATCACTAACAGGGGGAAACCGGGTTGAAAAATGGAGGTATTATCTCGACCTATGCCGGGATTGAACCCTGGACCCTCAGGTTAGCGAGCAAGCGTCTAACTCAATGAGCCACCGCGGCTCCCTGTGTATGTATAAGGTGGTCAACTGTGAATGCAAACTGTCCACTATCAAAGTTTCCCTTGCGCCCCGTCTTCTGAGATAAGCGATAGTTGCCTAATGACACCAAGGAAAACAAAATGACAAAAACTCCCCCTCCACTATAGCACCCTCCCTTTTTTGTCCTCGTAAAAATCTTCAATAACCCAGTATGTACTACGACGTTCCGATAAGAATCTGTTTGTCAACAAAGATACAACACATGTGACGATATCTCTGGTGTATCAATTAACTAGTTGTTGACAAACAATCCTACTGTCTGTTTACGAGGTAAATAGGAGAAACAACACCGTAAAGAAATAGTAATGATATAACAACTCGATCTGGTTTATCAATGAATCTTCATGTAAGATCGGTTATTGTCTGAAAGCTGTATGGTATCAAAAAGGATTTTTAAACAAATATAAATACAATTTAGAATAGTATGTTTTATGACTGGTCCACCCCTTAGGACCAAATGGAACATGTGGCACGATTTCCCCACCACTTTGCAACAATACGAAAATCGTCGTTGTTGATCGTGAGAAACGATGCAACTGCCCTTAATGTACCCAAGATGGTACTGGCCTTGGTATCACTCCAAATTCAAGTCTTTTTTAACCAACTGAAAAACGAATATGTTCTAAACATAGCTCACATCGATACGTATTATTTTTTATGTATGGTCTCGTCCTGTAACCTTGGTCAGTGCTTCTATAGAGAGTGAATTATATAAACTCACAAACCAGGCAGCTGTGGAATCAGTTATTACCTTGGTAGAGATTCTACCTTGTCGCCAAGAAGACATTTGACTATCGACTAATTTGACAGAGCACTTTATAAGAATGCTCAAGATTTGACAGTCTATATAAGAATGCTCAAGATTTGACAGTCTATATAAGAATGCTCAAGGATTGTCAGTCTATATAAGAATGCTCAAGGATTGTCAGTCTATATAAGAATGCTCAAGGATTGTCAGTCTATATAAGAATACTCAAGGATTGTCAGTCTATATAAGAATACTCAAGGATTGTCAGTCTATATAACAATGCTCAAGGATTGACAGTCTATATAAGAATGCTCAAGGATTGACAGTCTATATCAGAATGTTCAAGGATTGTCAGTCTATATAAGAATGCTGAAGGATTGACAGTCTATATAAAAATGCTCAAGGATTGTCAGTATATATAAGAATGCTGAAGGATTGTCAGTCTATATAAGAATACTCAAGGATTGTCAGTCTATATAAGAATGCTCAAGGATTGTCAGTCTATATAAGAATGCTCAAGGATTGTCAGTCTATATAAGAATGCTCAAGGATTGTCAGTCTATAAAAGAATGCTCAAGGATTGTCAGTCTATATAAGAATACTCAAGGATTGTCAGTCTATATAAGAATGCTCAAGGATTGTCAGTCTATATAAGAATACTCAAGGATTGACAGTCTATATCAGAATGTTCAAGGATTGTCAGTCTATATAAGAATGCTGAAGGATTGACAGTCTATATAAAAATGCTCAAGGATTGTCAGTCTATATAAGAATGCTGAAGGATTGTCAGTCTATATAAGAATGCTCAAGGATTGTCAGTCTATATAAGAATGCTCAAGGATTGTCAGTCTATATAAGAATGCTCAAGGATTGTCAGTCTATATAAGAATGCTCAAGGATTGTCAGTCTATATAAGAATGCTCAAGGATTGTCAGTCTATATAAGAATGCTCAAGGATTGACAGTCTATATAAGAATGCTCAAGGATTGTCAGTCTATATAAGAATGCTCAAGGATTGTCAGTCTATATAAGAATGCTCAAGGATTGTCAGTCTATATAAGAATGCTCAAGATTTGACAG